TCCCGTGCCGCGTGGGGCGGTCCCCTGCCGCAGCACGCGCTCTCCAGCAGCCATCGAGGCTTCCACCCACACAGATGTGGCAGTGGGGGCAGCCCTGCAGGTCTCGGCTGCAGGCAGTGCTGGGGTCCCTCCGTGCTGCGGGGCTGCCGGGCGGCTTTCCTGCAGGTGCGCTGCAGCTGCTGAGCTGCGTCACCAGGTAAAGGCGTCAGGAGGAGGGGAGCGGGCCACATGGCAGCCAAGGTCAGCAAGGGAGAGGACAGCTCCAAGTCCAGCTTCCCATGGCAGTGGAGATGCCGGGGGGCTCCATACCATGTGGAACAGTCAACCATAGCACTGCAGAAGGTGAAGGCTGGAACCTCACTGCTTCCAGTGCAAGGAGAAGGGCTCTTGCTCATCCTGAAGAGCTGCATTTGAGGAACAGATTCAGTGCCCTGCACACTGAGGAGAATCTCACTGTGGCTTTGGATGAAGCTACTGGGCTGATGGATCCCGTGCCACGCAGGAACACAAGGAAGAAGCAGTGGGTTGTGGTGGACTCCAGGCTGCAGGGGATGGAGGCAATAGTGCCAAGGGCAACTTGGGAAGTATCATGTGGAATTTCAGAGCTCTGGGGATGGTATGAGGGACCTGCGGGGCTGGGTTGTGCTCTCCTCAGTTCTGCCAGTGAGGGATAAGGCTGGAGGAGAAGCAAAGTGATACTCCAAGTAAAGACTGGATGCACCGTTCATCTTGGCCACAGGGTTTTGATTTCTAGGATCATGGGACCTTACTGGAAGATCAACAAGTGAGTGAGAGAGATGCAAACTGCCTCACTAAAGGGAACATGTGTCTTTGCCAACAGGATGGCCAACGTAGTAACGAGGGGGAAAACTAAGGGAGATGGGGGAAAGGGAGAGTTATAAAAACTCTGCAGTTGGCATGCTTGAATACCTCTGAAGTGCCACTACACAAACGCACACAACACGGGGAATAAAGAGGGATGAGAGAGCTGTGTGCTGCTGCAGGGCCATGATCGCCTTGCGATTATGGAGACTTGGTGGGATAGCTCGCAGGACTGGAGCGCTGCTGGGGCGGCTTGGGGCTATTTAGAAGAACAGGACAGGAAGGTGAGGAGTGAGGAGGGCAGTGAGTGAGCGACTGGACTGAGTTCTGCCATGGGGTGGATGGTGAGTGGGTCAAGAGTCTCTGGGTAAGAATGAGAGGGCAGGATGCCTGGGGTGACGCTGCTGGGGGTGGTTGCGTCCCGACACAGGAGCCACCGAGGAGACGTGCGCTGCTGGCCCCTGTGCTGCCAACCGAGGAAGGGTGGGTGGGAGAGGAGCTGGGGACAGCCTTGGCAGCAGTGACCGTGACGTGGTGGAGGGCAGACCTTGCAAGGAGGGCGAGAAGTAGGGTCCCAACACGGGAGAGCAAACTCTGGCCTCTTCAGAGACTTTCTTGGAAGAATCCTATGGGATAGGGTCCTGGAAGAGGGGTCCAAGAGAACTAGTTGATATTCATGCATCATCTCCTCTAAGCTCAAATGTGTTGCAGGCTCCTATGTGTCAAGCAAAGGGGGCAGGAGCCCTGCACCAGCGAAGGAGGAGGTGCTGGTAAAACTCAGGCAGGAGGAGGAGGATGCCCAGAGCATGGAACAGGGACAGGCTGCGGTTGGAGCATTATGGGAATGTCCTCCAAGCATGCAGGGGTGAGACATGGAAGGCAGCAAGGAAAGAGGCCGGGGCACCGAGCGCACACCCTGAGAAGCTGGGAGAGCAGCTGGGGAGAGGGGCGGGAAGGGAGATGAGCTCCGAATAAAGCAAGAAAACAACCTCTTGGGCCTTCACTGTGCTTTTATGGGGGTGTTGAAGGGCTTGCCGAGATGATAGCTTGGAGATAAAAGAAAAACATGATAGGAAGCAAAAGGGAGAAGACAGCAAATGGGAGAAAGAAATAGGAATGCTGTGAAACTAATGGGAGCGTTACCTAGAAAGGCAGAAGGAAAAAAAAAAAAAGAGCAGGAAATTCTATAGGAAGTAAGACAGAAAAGCCCAATTGTGCAAGGTAAAAAAGCTGGGAAAGCTGGGTAAAAAAGCTGGGAAACCTGTTCAAATGTAGGCCTTAGAGCACCAGCACAAAAATACCACAGCGCAAACGGCGAGCCCAGACAGGGAAGGCACTTCAGGAGAAGAAGAATGGAATAAAAGGTGGAAAGTGAAGTGGAAGGGGTGGTTTCTTTCATCCTAGGAATCTAGGAATTTCCTTCCCACTCTGCCCCTCCCATTTTTTTGTCCTTTTAGCAAAGGAAAATAAAGAGAGGGAAAAAAAAAAGGCAAAACAAAAAAATAGCGGGGAGGAAGGGGAGTGGAGACTTTGACAGGAAAAAAAAAAAAAAGAAAAAAGAAAAAAGCAAAGAGGGGAGAAGATGCCAAACAAATAAAAGAGTTTGGGGGACTATTGAAGAACGCAAAAAAGGAAAGCGCCAGGAAATAGACAGTATTAAGGAGGAAAAAAAACAAACAGGGTCTGCATGCACATGCATTCATGCATGTCCTCAAACAATACTGCTTTCTAGGCATTATGCTGTTCAGGAATTTTTCAGGGAAAAAGGTGCAAGCAGGAATAAAATTCCTGGAAAACAACCACAAAAAAAAAAAAAAAAAAAAAAACAGCACACCACTCCCCCTGCCAC